ACGATTTAATTTTTATATTTTTATATTTATTTTAATTAATATTTTATATATTTTTAAAATAATAAAAAATATAAAAAATAAAATACGGAGAAATATTTTCAGATGAAGTGTTAGCAGGCTAATTTTCGTCCAAGCCCGCTTGCCATGTCCGCTTACGGGCCGGGCTTACGAGCGTGGTAGGTGTGGGGGAAAACCCAGGTTTCCTGCTACGGCGAAATAGGCTTCGCCGCCTTTTCTTCTGTTTCCCCGACGCCGGGTAACATTGGTACGGACTATAGAATGCTACCCCTTTTCTCGACCTTCTCCTTTTTCACATTACTATACATCCGATTCCTTTACCAATCCCGTTCTTTAATCCCAAAAATGATCTTTTAATTGAGAACAACGTTCCCAATAGCCTTCATCATCTGTTTTCTCTTCCAATTCAGAGTCTTTGACTTCTTTGCCTCGTTCAATTCATGCCCATTTGATCACAACCTGAGCTCCAATTTACTTCTCCATTTCCTTTTTATGGGTTCTTCTTCTTCTCCTGTTTAAAATCAAGCTAAGGTGCAACTCATGTGGTCTTCCCGTTTCTTCTGTGATTTCCATTTTCTCCATGATGGGATTGATGGGATAGCTTTTGATGTCTCTATTATGAAGTATTGATTGTCGGATATAGGAAACAATGTCTGATTTATTGCAGGGTCGGACTCTGGTTTTCAGGATGTTGTCTATTTCTGAAGTTGACATGACGTTGTAGTTAAACTTCAGACAGAAATTTACTCAGTTTTTCTTTTCAAGGGGCCAGAGTTTTTTATTTTATTTTTGCTTGAATTTATTGATATCTTCCAGGTCCTGGACTTTGGAAAATGGAGTTCTTTAGATTGTAAGTTTGTAACTATTATTTGCATTAGTTCTTCTAGGATTTAACGGAGTTATGCAGTGTTTTCAATATTTATTGTAGTGTTAATTTACTTGATGGTTTGATGGAATTTACACAGATTGTCAGAACACAGAATGGCTGCTGCTACGTTCCACCAATCCATTGGGGCCACTCAGCTCCCTGCCTGTGGCAAGCATCGTGGCTTTGTTACGAACTATGGAAGTTGCGTATTGAGGTTTATCTCAAAGGGTTTTGCAGTTGACATTAGATTGTTAAGAAAAGGAAATTGTATCTCTAGGCAGTCTAGGTTGCTTCTACTTCATGCGTCATCTTCTCATGCTTCAGTTGAAGGTTCAGTTTCATTTATCTCAGATGATGCAAATGACCAAGATAAGAGAACATTGGGTGCGTTTATCTCTCCCTAAAGTGATTTTTTCTATTAGTATGTATGGGACTAGTCATGTATTACAAGGTCATTTTTCTTAAATTCAATAACTTTTTGAGTTTTGAATTGTCCATGTTATAGAATGATCTTGGCCTAGAACTATTCTGAGTTTACTTGGATTCTTCGCTTTTCCTGGTTTTCTGATTGTTTGTTGAGGAATGAAGATTGAGCTGTATCATTGTGTTATGTTCCTTATCCATTGAGGGGGTTTTATGCTCTCTCTTTTCTTGTTGGCTTACAGTTACATATATACTTAAAAATTTTCAGCAGAATAACATAAGCTGTTTTACCATTTAGGTATGGGGAGTTACAGGGTCTTAATAAGGAGGAAACAGCAAAAGATAAGGAAAGGAGAAAGTCCATGAGTGGCGACGAAGTTATGATATTCCTCCAGCCAATGGTGAGAGCTTGGAAATGTGTTCTCAAAGAGCTGTTGCCTATTTTAGAAAACATGTAAGTCCATTAAAATACTTTCTTCTTCATGTAGGAGATTGACATTAAAGGCATCTGAAAGGCTGGAAACATTTTAAGATGTCTTTTGTTTATGTTTTCTACACTTAAGTATCTCAGTCTGTACAACTCAAATTCTAATATGAATTTATTGCAGATTGAACCTCAACTTCAATCAGGAAAGCATGTCATGGTTGCTGCGCATGGGAATTCATTGAGGTCTATCATCAGGTATCTTGACGAATTAACTACACAGGAGGTAGCAAGCAGTATATATCAAGGATTGTTCATAACCTATGAAACATTTCTATTATCTGATGACAGACAGCCTATGTTTCTTGTTTGAAACAGGTCATCACCTTAGAATTGTCAACTGGGATTCCCAGTTATACATATACGAAGATGGGAAATTTATGAAAAGGGGAAGTCCAGTAGGACCTACTGAGTCTGGCGTTTACGCTTATACTGAGGTATGTAGTCTGCCTTTGTCATCCTTATTGAGCCCACTGGTGTTGATCCCTCAAATAGGAATAGGATGTCTAGTATTGGATTATTTTAACTTGGTATTTCCATTGGTGTGAAAGAAGGTAATAAAAGAAATCTTGAGATTGTGCTTTAGGGTTTGGTGTGCAAATGAGTGAGTTCACTAGTTGACCCTATGATTGCTAAGTTTTTGTTTTGTTGCTTTGTGCAGTACCAATTTAGCAAGCAACACCCACCATTTGGCTGGTAATGAAACTTGTGATGTTGCTTATTTAACTTGATGGACTGTGGTGCATTAGATTAGTGTTTTATCATGAATTATGTGGGTTAGTCAGCCCTTTCTATGGGTTTATTCTATTTGGACTGGATTAGACTTGTCTTACGATCCTAACTGTTCCAAACTATTCATCTTTGCATTATTGAACACAAAGTTGTAAAGAGCCCCAGGAAAAACTAAATTGAAACTGAACTGAAATACTTAATTACTTTGTTTTCCTGTTTCCACTTAATTCTTCCCCACAGATTTTGCAATTTAAGAATTAAAGATCATACTGACACAAAATTAAGGCCAAATAATCAGAAATTAGCATAAAATCCCAAATTATAGAATTCAAAAACCAATTAATTATCACCACCCCTCATGTTCTCTCTTATAAAGTGATTAATCCTCATAAAAAATCAGAAGTTTTATAGAATTTGTGTTAATCTCAACCGAACTCTTGAATTTAAATTACTTTGCACAACCTATTCCCAGGGTAGCTAAAGCATCAACATAGAATCATAGATACCATGCGCTATACTTTTTATTAGACCATAAAGTGCAGTGTCAATATTGGAGATATCCTAATCTCCTAATATGCCTTGCAACATGTTATGCTAGGGGTTTCTAGATGGAGGTTTCTAAAGTCTTTTGCTGAGTTCTTTTCTTGATTTGTTAACATGTAGATTTAAAGTTGATTTCATCTAATTATTTGGATTATTATCAGAAAATTGTTTCTCAATATTCTAGAGTTCATGGTAAGAAACTTTTCAACTAGTAATGAGACCATTGATGAGAGACAAGACAGGACCGTATAATCTAGCTGTGTGTTTTGTACTCATGAACATTCTCAATTTTTTTGTCTTGAAGATTAATGATTTACACCTGTAAACTAGTTATATGAAAAGGATTGATTATCTAAACTAGGTGATCCAATCCACACAAATAAAAAAACATGGTTGTCAACTTCCACCATATGAAAGCGAGAAAAAAGGGGGAAGGTGTTTGTTGAGGTTGGCACAAATACTTGTAGGTCATTCTGTGTCCATTTTTAACAACTCTGATGATTTTTGCTGATTTCTGTATATACTGTATGCAGAGTCTAGCGCTTTACAGGCAAAAATTGGATGATATGCTTCAGTGAATTTTGAGAAGGGCAGGTAAGTTATATCTTCTGATGGATCATCTTCCTCTTACATAAACTCTTTTGAATTGCTAAAACCATGGTGTTACGATTTTGCTATATGGTATGTCCCACTCATGTGCAATATCAATGTGGCTCCAATAAACATGTCTTCTAGGATCTAATGAGATATTGAATTTAATCCATATTCACTTTGTTGCTGGCCGTGTGATACCACCAATTTACTCAGACATGCTTTGTATTGTTGCAGAGGACTACCACTACCCTTAATTCTTCATCTTGGATGGATCTTTGCATATGTTACAAAACAATTGAAGCAGGTGAGTACTACAAGAGTTCATGGATTCTTTTTGTGCAATGTTGTGGATGCACAACCACAGCGACAAGTTTTTTGTGTCACAGAGTCGTATACCTTCTTATTTTTCGACATGTATACTACATACAAGAGAAGGTTTTTGTTTTCCCCTTTCTTAATAAACGGACAACAAATTGTGAAGAAAAAGACCCACAATGTACATTTTAGCATTGCAAGTCTGTTAAAGGCATCATGAGGACATTGCATTGTTGCTGTGACTTCTTAAAATGGGATAATATATGTGACCAATTCATCTTTTCCCGCGTTTTCTTAATTTTGGATTCCATTTTGGTATGAATTTCTCTGTGGTGGCCTAGTGGTAACACTATTCAAAAAATGGATAGATTGTGTGAGGAAGGAAATGAAATGGCTATGGGATTTGGGTGAAGATGATGGATGGAAAGCAAATGCAAAACAAATCCAATCCCCAACGGTTTTCTCCTTCCCGGAAAGAAATGGCCACAATTTCTCAATCTTTCAGAGGCATAACAAAATTTCATCGTTCCAATATTATTTTGTTTCAAAATGTTGCTAAAAAAGAATAATATTGTTTTCCATTTGAAAATAATAGTTAGTAATTATTTGAATTAAACAAAATTGTTAATATCTAACTTTAAATCTCTAATTTAATCACTTTTAATGAATTTAATTCTATTATTGGCACTAAAACAAATGTTACACTTGTACTATAGGCCCTACAACACCTTTTTTTTTTTTTTTTTTGCAGCAAAATATAATTCCCCAT